GTCCTTCTGATGCAAGGGTTGTCCCACTGAAGGGAGGAAAGCCCCCTGAATTTGCCAAGTAGGTTCTTGGCTTAGCCACAGGAAAGCTTTATTGAAGAGACAGGGATCCTCTCCAGAGCTGAAATTACTTTCAGGGACAATGGTAATGTTTTTACATGTTCAAAAAACCCCTATGTGACTAGTGTTGTCTCATGATTAGACCATAAAGATTAATCATGAACTGCTGTCACAGCAAGGTAAGCAGGGTTTGTAAGGCGTCTGGTTTAGTAGTTCAGGAACTTGCTGCGGCTTCCTTGTGTAGGGTAGTTAGTGTCTGGCATCAGTCAAATGGCTGCTCTAAGGGCTCCCTTGAACTTGGTTTTCTGCCTTATCCCTCCATTACTTGTTTCCGGTCCCTTGACGTGAAGAACAAGATGAGACAGCACAGTGATGGTAAAAGTGAGCCTCACTCTTGTAAGAGGATCTCTGATTGCACAGCTACCTCTTCTCTTTTTATACTTTCACTTGCTAAATATTATGCTCAGTAAGAGTTAATGATGATGTAAATAAGTATCTATTTCATTTTAATTTTTATTAAAGATACAAATTATACATACAGAATATTACTAGTAAGTGGAGATGAGTGTACACAGGAACAAAACAAAAATGTTAACAGTTTTTTTTTAAGCAAGTGCACATTGGGTGATGTTTTGTTTTCTCAATTTCCCACTGAGAAAAATGAGTATGTGTAACTTTACCACGGAAAAATAAGACACTATTTACGTACTTATTCAATTAACGTAATCCTGAGGATTTTCTGTTCTAGGGAAAAACTATGATTAGAAGGAACAAGTCGTAATAACTATTTCATTTTACTCAGGATATTTACAGAAATTCTTTCCTAGATTATGCTTTCAGCATTTCCTCGAAGGAATTAGCAGAGCTTCTTAAAATGAAGTGGGAAGCGATCTGATGAGATCTCTGTTTTAGAAAAATAACTAAGCAAATTGTGGATTGTCCTATTATAAGCCTGGAGGTGGGAAGCAAAACTGAACTCTTTCCAGGAGTCTGGGGAGGAAGATGAGCTGCCCTTGAGCTGAGACAGTGCATTGGAAAGGAAGGAGCAGATAGGGGAAGAAGGCACTTCAAAGTAAACATACCAAAATTAAACTGCCTTTTTATAACTGGACTTCCCTCCCTCACCCTTCTAATTCCCTTCTCCTCCACTTTTCTCCTTGGACTACCACCCACTTGCCAATACAAAACTTTTACTTCTTCTACTGATTGCCGTCTCTAGTCCATCACCAAAGGCCTGTTAGGCCTTTTTCCTAAATATAACATCTCCTAAATCCATCCATTTCTCTCTACCCCTATCTCTACCCTTTAACTTAGGCTTAATTCCTGCTTGAATTTTTAATGGCGTTTCCAACTGCCCCCTCCCCCCTTTTTTTGCTTTCAGTTTCACTCTCTACCAGATCAGAGTGATTTTCCAAAACTGAAAATCTATTCCCGTTACTCCTTTCTTCAGTGGCTTTTGGTGCTATTAGGAAATAATCCAAACTCTTTTTTTTTAGTGTGGCTTCCAAGGCTTTGCCAGAGCTAGACCTGGCTTTCTTTCTAGCCTTGTTTCTTGTCACTCCCTTCCTCACTCCTCCCTACCTATGACTTCTCACAGACCTCGCCAGCTCTCCAACTCACTGTTACTCATGCTTCTTGGCACAGTATTCTATCTGCCCCCCTGGAACTCTCCTCTCTTCTTTCTCTGTACCTGTTTAATTCCTTGATATCTCGATTTAGGCATAACTCTGACAAGTGCCTTTCTGAGCCCTTGCAAAGATCCTAGTCACATTTTGAATAATATCAGCGGAAAAATGGAGGAGTCAGCAAAGTTCTAAGATTCTTTCACTGAGCAGCTGGATACATGGTAATACTGTTATTGAGGTGAAAAAAGAAGAGTAGGTTTCGGTGATAGCAGAATGAGTTCAGTATGAATATTTGGTTCAGTTAACAATTAGGAATAGAGGATATCAAGTGGAACTTAAGGAAGATGTGAGAGCCATATGTGATCACTGAGGTCATGGGAGTGGGTAAGATTTCCTACAGAGTACATGGATCAAGAAGACAACTGAGGTTGGCGTCCCGAAGATTCTGACATTTAAAGAGACACAGGGAAAGACCTCCTCAGTGGCAGCTGGGACTCTACCTCTCATTCTACATTTATGGGACTTGTAAATAGTCCATTGCTCCTAAACAGTACATTATTCCAGAGCAATTGGAAAGAACATGCTGATTGAATAACTGTGGAGGCAGAGGGGGCGAGGAACTCCCTAATAATATCTTTCATGAATTATTTCTTTCAGGAAATCCTTTGTATTTTCAACATTACAATAAACTTATGATGTTTACTCACCTCTAGAATCACTGAATTTAACAGAGATGAAATAATAACTTTGTTTTGTTTTTGTTTGTTTTGAGACAGAGTCTCACTCTATTGTCTTGGGTAGAGTGCAGCCTCAAATTCCTGGGCTCAAGTGATCCTCCACCCTCACTCTTTGAGTAACTGGGACTATAGGCCCATGCCACAATGCCCAGCTAATGTTTTCTATTTTAAGTAGGAATGGCGTCTTGCTCTTACTCAGGCTGATCTTGAACACCTGAGCTCAAGCAAGCCTCCTGTCTTGTCCTCCCAGAGTGCTAGGAGTACAGGTGTAAGCCACTGTGTCAAGCCAACATGGATATTTAACTCATCTGAATTTATCTTTTTAAAATTTTGTGTTTATTGTGGTATACCATTTAAAGCTGATGTACCTGTTCTAATTTACATACAAATGTGCAAATATAATTTTCCTTCTTTGTGCTTCTGTGTGAGGCTTGTAACTATTTTGGTGAAATCCAGTAGGATACTAAAAAGATTCCTAAAGAATGAAACCATCCATTGTTTTTACTTTAGTGTATTTATCAATTTGACAATCAGATCTAATAACCTTGAATCTTTGTAGGTGAAATATATTGGATCATTTATACAGCTTTCCAGCTTTATAAGTCCATAACCTGTCAGATTCCATTATTCAGCAGCCTTATTAACATGAACACCATTTGTATTTTACCAGAACTGTATCCTTCCTCTAGTACTTCCCAAACTCCCTGTATTCATTTATTCATTTGACAGATACTGGTTGAGTATGTTCTTTGTGTCAGGGACTGTGCTAGGCTCCAAGGAATATAGTGATAAGCAAAATGAACATAATCCCTGCCCCATGGTGCTCAATACCTAGACATTCACTTGATTTGAGTGTTCATCTTTGTGCTTATAGAATGCTTTTTTTTATGAGATATCTGAGTATGTAGTAAGAATATCAATAATAATGTCTGCTTTTTTATGGGGCTGCTGCTATTGATGCTATGTACCATGCATTGCCCTGATCTGCCTAATTATTTCTTTAGGATGGAGCCTAGAAGTTGGAAAAGAGGTAACTTATGGCTCAGATTAACTAAATCAATTTGAAATGGAAAGAAACATATAATTTAGGGGCTAAAAGAGTGAGCATCAGAATCACACAGACCTGAATTTGAGTCCTGATTCCACTATGTACATGTTACCTAACTTTTCTGAGCCTTGGTCTCTTGATTTATGAGGTTGTAATAATCACCATACCTACATCATGGGACTGTTGTGATGATGTAAATGAAATAATACATGAAAATACTTAGCATAAATCCTGGCACAGTACAGGTTGAATATCCCTGATCCCAAACACTTGGAACCATACGTGTTTCCCTATTTCGGATATTTTCAGATTTTGGAATATTTGCATATACACACCAGTTGAGCATTCCTAATCTGAGCATTTCTATTTAGCATTACTTTTGAGCATCACGTCATCAGTCAAAAAGATTCAGAATTTAAAGCATTTGGGGTTTTAGATTTCCAGATTAGGGATGCTTAACTTGTAGAAGTCAATAAAAGTGATTTTTGCTATTACATATGATATAGAGCTTAGCTTTTTAACTACTTATACTCTTCCTATGCATTGTTAAAAGATTTATACCCCATTAATTGTATTCCACTTCTAAATGAAAAGTTTAACATAGGGAAATAGCTTGGGGAGGGATTCCATTTTTAACAGTCTGTCTTCTACAAAAGGATGGCAACTACCAGCATCAGCAAGTGATAAGGGAATAAGGGCATTACTAGGAAGAGCAGACATAGGTGACATTTACTAATCACCTGGGTTTTAAAGGACTGGAAAGTGGGATTTAAAAAAAAAGAAAAAGTATTCTGTTTATCTTCCTGTAACTGAAAGCCGTACCTTGAGGAAGTAATTAGAAAAGTCATTGTTTTATACTTGATCACATTTGATGACATTCTTCAAATCTGAAATAGTTAATCTTTAGCTATAATGCCTAGACTTCAGTGTAAAATTATTTACAACAGAAAATCAAGATATAGGAGGCAAATTTATGAATTTCCTACTAAATAAGAATAACTTAGAACTAGTCTGTTTGTTTGTTTGTTTATTTATTTTTGAGACAGTCTCACTTTATTGCCCTCAGAACGGAGTGCTGTGGCATCATAGCTCACAACAACCTCAGACTCTTGGGCTCAAGCGATTCTCTTGCCTCAGCCTCCCAAGTAGCTGTGACTACAGCCGCCCTCCACAATGCCTGGTTGTTTTTGGAGACGAGGGCTGGCTCTGGCTCAGGCTGGTCTCAAACCGTGAGCTCAGGCAATCCACTCACCTTGGCCTCCCAAGTACTAGAATTATAGGCGTGAGCCACCATGCCTGGCCAGAACTAGTATATTTAGAAGCAAATCTTTTTAAGAAACCTTCGTAATCTTTAAAAAAAAAAAAAACCTTCATATCATAGAAGATATATTGCATGTGTTTGCCAGTTTAGTTTTCATGAAAAGTAAACTAAAATAGTACAACTTTGAGAAAGTAGAAAGGTAAAATTCTTCTGGTAAAACTTACATCCAACACAAAGCCTCGTTTTGTTTAATGATGTCTGTGTAATTACAGGGTGTAGGAAAAAACAAAATTGTTGACAGATTTCTTCACCTGCTCAACAGACCTCGAGAATATATCCAGTTGCACAGGTAAGAATATTTAGACATGTAATCTCTTAAAATCTGTTTTAATCATTTATTTTCATAAAGTCTCATTTTAAAACCATTTTCATTTCTATTCCTATTTTTATCTCTTCTCTCCTTAAAAAGTTACAAAACAAAAAAAAATTTAAAGTGGCTAATGCTTTGTAAACATGAGTTAATAGATATTTTTGTGGACAGAGAGTGATGAACATTATTACATTCTAGGACCAGATCTCATCAACATAAAGGCTCTCTTAAGTTAGAAAAAAAAACATGTAGAAACTAAGCCTATTTTCTAACAATAGCTTGTAAGAGAAATAATAAACTGTATGAATCTCAGGTAGGAGATAAGGAACCCAGAAATACGTAAAAAGTATGTTATTAGTTGTCTACTTGCTTTCCTTAAAATATTTGTACATTATTTAGTTTTGTGTGGTAAGAATGCTGGTCAGGGATAGCTTTAATCAAATAGATGTTCTCAACAAGGATTGTTTTTAGCTTTATCAGTGAGCCTGTTCCAATTAAAAATAAAATAATATGTAACAAATCCACCAAAAATAAAGGAGAAAAAGAGAGTAACACAGAGATATAAGTCAAGAAATATGCCCAGTAATAAGCAACATTGAAACTAGCTTAGATTGTTACTGTTTGTTTATTTTTTTCTTTTTTCCTTTATTATTATTTTTTTTTTTTGAGACAGAGCCTCAAGCTATCACCCTCGGTAAAGTGCTATAGCATCATAGCTCACAGCAACCTCCAACTCCCGGCCTCAAGCGATTCTCTTGCCTCCACCTTCCAAGTAACTGGGACTACAGGCACCTGCCACAATACCTGGCTATTTTTTGGTTGCAGCCATCATTGTTGTTTGGTGGGCTCGGGCTGGATTCGAACCCGCCAGCTCAGGTGTATGTGGCTGGTGCCTTAGCCATTCGAGCCATAGGCACCAAGCTGATTGTTATTGTTTTAAAGCCAGGAGATTAAAAAAAAAATACTCTGGGTTGGGCGCCTATGCTCAGTGGTTAGGGCACTGGCCAGATGCACCAGGTCTAGTGGGTTCAAACCGGTCCAGGCCTGCTAAAAACAAAACAAGACAAACAAACAAACAAAGCGAGATTCCATCTCTACTAAAATAGAAAAACTGAGATAAGAGGATCACTTGAGCCCAAGAATTGGAGGTTGCTATGAGCTATGACATCATGGCATTCTACCCAGGGCAATAGAAAAAAATACTGTGTAATGGAAAGAACATTGAATTGAGTTATAAGCAAGTTTCTGGTTTGGGTCCTTTCACTAAATGATGATCAGTTCTTGAGAGTGAATTGTAGGAGAACAGACAGAGGGCAGAGTTAGTACTTCAAAGGAGAAAGGAAAGGATCAAAGGAAAGCTGAGATATGATAAAAAAAACAAAAACCAAAAAACTCCCTCTTGGGATCTATACCTCTGGTCCTGACAGAATAATGGTACCAGATTAGCATTAACACAGAAAACTGTAAAAACGGGACAAAATGTAAAAACACACAGAAAAGAATAGCTACCAGAAATCTGTGAACTGAACAACTATCAGAGTTCCTACATGGTTGGGAACTCTTGATATTCAGAAGATATCATATAAAATCTATGCTTTAGAGGTAGGACTGATCTACCCCTAAAATAACAGTTACTCTATTACTACCCTTACAGAATTTAAAAATTTTAAGCCTTAAAAAAGAAGGATGCTTGCTATTTAACATTGTTTTGGAAGTTCTTTTTCATATAAAATGACTTCTAAAATAAAAAGGAATGAATGTGAGGAATGCCTTGAAAAGATGAAGGTAATTCAAAAGTAAATTGACTATATACCTGAACAAAACATGACATTCTACTAAAGAAGACTGCAAGATCCAGACACCCAACAACATAGAATTCATGATGTCAAGCATTCAATAGAAAATTACAAGGCATACAAAGAAACAGGAAAACTGGTTAATAAAATGGACTAAAAAATGACAGATGATGGAATTAGCATAGAAGGACTAAAAAACAGTTGTCATAAATATATTCAAGTATTTAAAGGGGAAATAACAAAATGAAGGGATAATTAAGAATTCTTTTTAAAAAATTTTTTGTAATTAATTGTTAATTAAGAATTCTTAGTACAGAAAAAGACAGCCTTAAAAAAGCAGTTAAAGATACAATGTAGTCTCTAAAAAGAAGAGGAAAAATGGGACAAAACAGTATTTAAAGAGATAATAGTGGGAAATTTTTCAAATTTGTTGAAAACTAAAGTTACCGATCTGGGAAGCACAATGAACCTCAAGTAGGGTGAACAGAAATCCACAGCACAGCACGTTGTACTCAAACTGTTGAAAACCAAGAGAAAAATCTGTACAACTGTCATAGAAAAATGACATATTACCTGTAAGGGAAAAGTGATAAAATTGATTACAGACTTCTTAGAAATAAGCGTAAACCACAATTCAGTATTTTTTATCAATAGACCTGAATAATACAATAGAAAATTGTTGGTGGGATTGTCTGTCAATGTACTAGCATCCCTGCACCCTGTGCTAGCGCCAGTTGTTCTCATATCAGAATTGAGTATATTGGATTCTTGTTTCTCCATTCTTGTGATGCTTTACTAAGAAAAATGTGTTTCAGCTCTATCCAGGTTAATACAAAAGATATAAGGTCTTCATCTTTTTTAGTGGCTAAATAGTATTCCATGATAAACATATACCACAGCTTGTTAATCCATTCCTGGATTGATAGGCATTTAGGTTGTTTCCAGTTTGGCAAGTGTAAATTGAGCTGCAATGAACAGTCTGGTGCAAATGTCCTTATGATAAAAAGATTTTATCATACCCACTGGGTAGATGCCCATGAATGGGATTGCAGGATCAAATGGGAGGTCTAGTTTAAGTGTTTTGAGGATTCTCCATACTTCCTTCCAAAAAGGCTGTACTGTAGTTTGCAGTCCCACCAGCAGTGTAAAAGTGTTCCTTTCTCTCCACATCTACGCCAGCATCTGCAGCTTTGAGACTGTGTGGTGTGGGCCATTCTCATTGGGGTTAGATGATACCTCAGAGTGGTTTTGATTTGCATTTCTCTGATATGCTTTTCAATTTTATAAAGATAAAATGCTTAGGAACAAATTTAACAAAATATATGCAAATATTTAATTTTGTAACAAGGTCAACAGACATGGGTTTTCTTTTTGAATTTGCTGATGTTTGAAATGATACTGAAGGTTATCTGTTTCAGACCCTTGCAGTATTGAGTTGCTGTCACAGTAAATCCTTCCCCTTATCTTAATCTACCTCAACACCCACCTCCCTTTCCTTAGTATTGTACTGCTATATTACTAGTTCATTCTACATTATTTGGAAGTGAAAGATAGTTTACCTTTGTTGTTTACAATAATTTTTTTTTTTTGAGATGGAGACTCATTGTCACCCTCTGTAGAGTGCTGTGGCGTCACAGCTCGCAGCAACCTCAAACTCTTGGGCTTAAGCAATTCTCTTGCCTTAGTCTCCGAAGTAGCTGGGACTCAGGATGCCTGCCACAACATCCGGCTATTTTTGGTTGTAGTTGTCATTGTTGTTTGGCAGGTTCAGGCTGCATTCAAACCTGCCAGCTCTGGTGTATGTGGCCAGCACCCTAGCCACTGAGCTATAGGCACCGAGCCTGTTTACAATAAACTTTTAACCCTGATTTTCTGCTGCCATCATTCCTGCATTGTAGTAGCACACCAGTTTGCCAGTTGCTATCAGATGAAGCTAATTTGGAAGCTAGATCCATGACTTGAGCAGCTGAACATAATTCTTATCAAGATATATGACATTAAATTTTAAGAATTTGCTCTCTAGAAAACTCTCTTCTCATTCTTTTATTACTTGACTTCCACCTTTCCACTCCCAACTGTCATCTTTTTCCTGACCCATATCATTCTATCACCCATCATCTCATTTCCAAAACTCTTGTAGGTTAATTATATGTTTTCAGAAAATTTTAACCTTTTCTAGTGCTTTAAGAATAAAGGTTCGGGCTTGGCGCCTGTGGCTCAAGCGGCTAAGGCGCCAGCCACATACACCTAAAGTGGCGGATTCGAATCCCCAGCCCAGGCCCGCCAAACAACAATGATGGCTGCAACCAAAAAAATGGCCAGGCGTTGTGGCAGGGGCCTGTAGTCCCAGCTACTTGGGAGGCTGAGGCAGGAGACTCGCTTGAGCCCAGGAGTTGGAGGTTGCTGTGAGCTGTGATGCCAGGGCACTCTACCCAGGGGGACAGTTTGAGGCTCTGTCTCAAAAATAAATAAATAAATAAAGGTTCGTCTACTCCAACTTCACCTGAATTTATACTACTCTATTCCTCTACCTTCTCATGGTTTCTTATATGAATTATATCTTATATAAGCCCAGTAATTTCAACTTGCTTTGAAAAAAAATCATTTATGATGTTAAAACTTTAGTACTTTGTGTTATAGGAAATACAGGAAGAAATAAGAAGCACAATCTCACCTTTAAGGAGCTGTAGTACCATTCTTATTTGTAATTATTTCAATCTTTCATCTTCCACTGAATCTGAAAGATTCTAATTCCCTTTTTCTTCTTCTCTTTTAAGCTTTTTAACTAGCTTTTTCTGTCATATGGGTGAAGTATCTTCATTAGCTATGAGAAGTTTTGATAAATGTTGTTTTTCTAGGACTTATTCCTTGTAATTATTGGTGTAAGATTGCTTAGGATATCATTTTATGTGTGTGGTATTTTAACGTCCTTAGGCTCAGTACTAGTATCCTCATTTTTATTCTTGATATTGGCCATTTACTTTCTCAATCAGTTTGCTAGGGGGTTAACACTACTGCTGGTCTGTTCAAGGAAACAACTTTGGGCATTGTGGAAACTCCCTTTTACATGTTCCTTTTCTATTTTAATAATTTCTGATTTTATTTTGATTAGTTTGGATTTCACATGCTATTCTTTTCTAAACTTTTAATATGAATGCTTAAATCATTGATTTTCAACTTTTA